GATATCTGAAAATACATGGAAAATGACATCAAAATTTTGATGCATCTCCTGATTTGTGGTACAAAATCAAGTGTTTATTTCCTTAAGTTAACTCATCTTGTTATGAGAGAATGGACTTCTGGGAACACAAAGATATGTGTGCCTATACAATGCCACATCTTCCTTCTCCATTGAGAATAGAATTAACTGACAGCAGATTTGGGCAGAAATTCCCATAACCAAGAAATAGTTATTCTGATCCTCTGAAAACCTGATAATTTATATGCATACTTGAGGCCTGATGCACAAAATCCATGCAAGGGGATCAGCTCTCTATTCATTGGGCCACAGAAGCCAGGTCTAAGCAGAATTTTTATTGAAAAAATAACAAATTAAAATGTGTGGTAGGTACCATATTCTATTTTTAAGTGGATAGAATATTTTGTTAGTCTGTTCACTGATAGGCACTAATGCAGCCTTGTTTTTGTTGTTGTTGCAAAGAAAGGTTAGAGTGAGAGCCAACTATTAGTGAATAGTTACCTAAAATCACATACCACAGATAAGAATCTGATTCAGTTACCTTCTAACCGAGTGACCTTGGGCAAGTTTCCCAGATCTCTTTGAGCCTGGGGATTTTGTTTTGTTCTGTGTATGGTACTGCATGTAAAATAAGAATGGTAATGGTATCTATTTTATAAAGATGTTGTAAGGATTAGAAAGTTTTATGGCAGCATTCACATTGTTGTTTTGATTGACCTAAAACAAGGCTCCGTTGAGTCAGTGATTTCCTGACCTCAACCACAAAATCCCTCGTAATTTTTCACAAACCTACTTGAGTGATTAAACCCATCAGCAAACTTACTTTTGCTTATCTTTGAGTTAGTTTTGGCAAGGTCAGGGACCTAACGTTAGAAGACCATCTGTGTGGAATGAACATAGCTTTTGTTAATAATAACTGCTGTCATCCCCTAGGATTTTGCAAAATATTACCAGGATACCCACAGTTTGCCGTGTTCAGCTAAAATATGACTTGCATTCAGCAAAAGATTGTTGCATATAAGTATCCTAAGATCCCATAGGATGTGGAAGACTTCAGGGGTGGCTTCATTTCATGGCAATAATAGACAGTCCGGCATGTTGGTGAATGGATTCTGACAAATAAAAGGCACATTATTTTATTACAGCACACATTCTGCAGGATCTTTTTTTTTTTTTTAAAGATATTTGTCAGAACTAGAATCAGAACATATAAAAGAATGCAAGTCAAAAAGATACATTACTACTATTAGAATAAAGCTAAACCAGTATTACATGAAATGTTGAAGGTTATTCTTTAAGAAGAGGAAGAAGAAGGAGGAGGAAGAAGAGGAGGAAAAGTATGAACAATAAAATGGCAATAAATACATATCAACAATTGAATTAAAAAATCAAAGTAAACGAACAAGGAATCTAATGAAACAAATAAACTGATGGATAAAATAGAATCAGAGGCCTGGAAACATGAAATAGACTGAGGAATCTTAGAGGAAAGGGGAGTAGGGGGTGTGAAGAGATTAACCAAAAAACTTACATGCATATGAGCATTACCTATAGATACTGACAAGACAGAGTGGTGAAGGCCTGGGGTGAGGCAGGGGCCAGGTGGAGGGGGGCAGTTCGGAGGACAAAGGAGGAGGGCATCTGTAATACTCTCACAATAAAGAGACACACACACACACACACACACACACACACACACACACACACAGAATAAAACCAGAAGCTTGAAAACAACAATTACTACTACTAATAACAACCTGGATGTATCTCAAATGCATTTTGAGAAGTGAAAGAAGTCAGATGCAAAAAAGCACAGACTGTGTGATCCCGTTTGCACACACTCTGGAACAGATAGCTCAGCATTGCCGGGCACTGTTTACTATTACTTGTACATTATATTTGGCTTTAAAAAAAAAAAAAGCAAAGCAAACACAAAGAAAGGTTAGAGTGAGAGCCAACTATTAGTGAAGAGTTACCTAGAGAAACTATTATGGTGTTGATGCAGATCAGTATTTCCTGTGTGTGGAATAACACAGTGCTCTTTCTTTCCCTTGAAATGTTGACAGATCTTTTAGGTATTTACTGAGTATTTGTGTTCACTTAACAGTTTCAAAGTCACGTGTTTAGGTCATTGAGTATTTTACTTTCTCTGTAAGTAGTAATGGTTTAAAAATTACTTGAAAGTTTTTAAATTTCTTGGAATATATTGCATCTGTTTCATAGTATTTGTTTTCTGTGTTCATCAGAATGCTACAAATAACAAAAGTAACACTCGGCCTGGCTTAAACAATGGCGACTTTTACTGGCTTCACCTCTGTGGTTATGGGATGGCTGCTCGTATCATTGAAGCCTACATAGGTCCCTCATGTACATGGAGCAGCAAAGAGAGAGCACTTTTTCCGTGGCTCTTCCTTTAAGAGCAGGAAACCTCCTCTTCCCCATTGCCTACACGTTTCCTCAGGTCTCCTTGTGTACTGAACCAATCACTGTGTACCCATTATTGTTACACCAATCAGGGCCCCCCTTTTAATCTGGGATGGCAGTGGTTACTTCCCCAAAAGAAAGACTGTATAGTGATGAGTTACATGAACCAAATCTGGATACCATTAAGAAATTGGAAGAGCCCTAGCCCGTTTTGCTCAGTGGATAGAGTGTCAGCCTGTGGACCAAAGGGTCCTGGGTTTGATTCTGGTCTAGGGCACGTACCTTGGTTGCAGGCTCCTCTCCGGCCCAGGCCATGGTCAGGGCATGTGCAAGAGGCAACCAGTCAATGTGTTTCTCTCACATCGATGTTTATCTCTGTCTTACCTTCTCTCTTCCACGCTCTCTAAAAATCAATGGAAAAATATACTTGGGTGAGGATTTAAAAAAAAAAAAAAATGGGGGGAGGGGGAAGGATAGCAGACAGGTAAGTAACAATGCTAGTGCTTTACCCTGGAAAGAGACAGCACCATCGCCATGATGGTAAAGTTTGGGATGGTGCTTTCCAGAAAAGATGAGTTTACGTTTACATGAACACTATGTCAAAGTGGTAATAACTGTCCAACAATAGTTAGGTATGTGAAACTTAAAATATTTTATTGCGTGTCAATATTTTATTGAAGCATGTGGATAAAAAGCAGGAGATAGTTAATAGGAAAAAACTGTTTCCATTCTCATGGAAATAGCAGGGGTATACAGATATATTTAAGTAAATATCTGTCCTGTCTCATGTGGCCCAGCTGATTGTGCACCAAAACGTTGCCGGTATGATTCCCAGTCAGGGCACATGCCCAGATTGCAGGTGCGATCCCTGGTGGGGGGTGTGCAGGAGGCAGCTGATCGATATTTCTCTTTCTCTTCCCCTCTCCCTTCCCTTCTTTCTAAAAATCAATGAAAGAATTAAAAAAAAAAAAAATTTGAGCCCTAGACGGTTTGGTTCAGTGGCTACAGCATTGACCTATGGACTGAAGTGTCCCAGGTTCACTCTGGTCAAGGGCATATGCCTGAGTTGCGGGCTCCATCTATTGTGAAGGTGTGCAGGAAGCAGCCAATCAATGAATCTCTCTCATCATTGATGTTTCAATCTTTCTCTCTTCTTCTCTGAAATCAATAGAAATATATTTTTAAAAAAATAAAAGGAATTTGAAATAAAATAATTTGTCTGGCATGTATGTTCCCCTCTCCCTCACCTACCTATAAAGCACCCATTTTCACTTCTGAAATTTAATACTCCATTTTTCCTTTCTTCTTTAAAAAAAAACAATAATAATAAAGTGTGGATTTAATTTTAAAAGCTGGGTAAAAGGCCCAGGCCAGTGTTGCTTAGTTGGTTGGAGTGTCATCCTGTATACCAAAAGGTGATGGGTTCAATTCCATGTCAAAGTATATACCCAAGTCATGGGTTTGATCCCCAGTTGGTATACATATGGGAGGCAACTGATATCTCTCTCTCTCTCTCTCTCTCTCTCTCTCTCTCTCTCTCTTTTTCTCATAAAATAAAATGGGTAGAAGAAGGTAGGTGAAAGATGAAACATAATTGTTGAATCTCATCAATGTACACATGTTCATTTTACTCTTTTCTCTACTTTTGCTAGTATATATGACTAGAGGCCTGATGCATGAAATTTGTGCAAGAGTAGGCCTTCCTTCCCCCAGCTGCCAGCTGCGGCTTCCCTCTGGCACCCGAGAGTGGGCTTTCCTCCCGCCCGACTTTGTCTGAAAGGACTTCCAGAATGGCATAAATGTGGTTAGCAGTCTAATTAGCATATTACCTTATTATTATTATAGATTGAAATTTTCCACAATGAAATGTGTTTTTTGTGTTGTGGTGTTTTTTTTTTGTTTTTTTTTTTTTTTTTGGTTTTTTTTTTTGTTAGGGCAAAAAGTTTTGTGCATAAAGCTGACAATTATAGAAGATGACTAAGAGAATGATGAAATCGTGTCCAAAGAGAGGTGGGGGAAGAAACAAGAAAAGTATTGTATCTGGGAACTAGAAAAGTTAAAAGATGTTTCCAGGCAAAGATGGATGATAGTGATAACTGAGTGCTACAGGCGTCACAGGAGACATTGTTATAGGCCCTGACTGGTATGAGTCAGGTGGTTGGGCGTCATTGTGAACCTGGAGATTGCCACTTTGATCCCACACAAGGACACATCCCAGGGTTCAGGGCTCAATCCCTAGCAGGGGGTGTGCAAGAGGCAGTTGATCGAAGTTGCTCTCTCACATTGATGTTTCTCTCGCCTCCCTTTTTCTCTCTCTAAAAATCAATAATCTTTTTTTAAAAGTTGTTACACACTATATCTAGAAAATTGCCCATTTCTAATTTTGTTACTTTCTGGTTGGATGTTTCTTGATGGCTGAAAGGAATCGGGTACCTGAGAAGCTTAAGAAAACTGTTTTAATTAAATTAAATTTAATTAAATTTGATGAGGTGTTTATTACTTGAGAAATACTGTCCAGGCTTTATTTCCTAATATGTGCATATGTGTTCTATTTGTAGGAGACAAATGAGCAAAAACTTCACAACATAGCCAATGAACTTTTGCTTACAGAAAGAGCTTACGTCAACCGACTGGACCTCTTAGATCAGGTAATATTTTCCATTTCAGAATTATTTTAATCTTCGGCACTATACATTACTTTAACTTGATAATTAAAGTTTTTAGAAACTACAGAGAAGGACCTGACCATTTTTGGCCAGTGAAAGGAAATTTATAACATTTATAGCTTTATCAGTGAATTCATTGGTAAATATAAAGTGTTATACTTCATAAAGAGCAGACTGACGGACTTTCTGTACAAGCCACAAGTATCTTTTATCCATTCTTTCAACTCTAAACACTAGTCTTGACCATTTATTGTGATTCTCTCTGCTATGTTTCTATGCTAATCTAAATGAGAGATTGTGATTCTGATGTGATACTAACATGAATAGATCACTGATTCTGTTTGGCTTGTTTGCTGTTCAGCCTTATGAGCATGACCTGAGTGGCTGCAGTCATGGGGCCAGAAGGGATATTGAGAGTTAACTTGCTCAGCCTTATAGGAAACAGTTAATACAGTGACTAATGTCAAGTTGCACAGTCAGTATTTGTTGAATATGTGAATCTACTTTATCACATTTTGTACTTTCATCCTGGTAGAGCCTTGAGTGTCATTTCAGATGCACATTTGCAAAGAAAGTTGTTTTTCCCTCCTGGTATTTCTTTATTTTTATTTACTTATATTTTAATTGAATTTATTGGAGGTAGCATTGCTTAATAAAATTATATAGGTTTCAGGTGTACAGTTCTATAAGACATCATCTGTATATTATATGGTGTGTTCACCACCTCAGGTCAAGTCTCCTTCTTTCACCATTTATTCCCCTTTTTCTACCTCCCTCCACCCCTTTTTCCTCTGGTAACCACCATACTGCTATTTGTGTTTAAGAGTTTTTATTTTATTTTTTGTTTTATTTTTGTTTAACCTTTCACCATTTTCACTAATTCCCCTCCCCTCTGGCAGCTGTCAGTTTGTATCTATAAGTCTGTCTATTTTGTTTGTTAGTTTATTTTGGTCATTAGATTCCACGTACAAATAAAATCATACGGTACTTGTCTTTTTCTGACGGGGCTTATTTCACTTAGCATAATACTCACCAGATCCATCCATTCTATTGCAAAAGATAAGCTTTCCTTCTTTTTTTATATATATAGCCAAGTAGTGTTCCACTGTGTAAATGTACCACAGCTTTTTTTTTTTATCCACTCATCTACTAATGGGCATTTGGGCTGCTTTCAAATCTTGGCTATTGTAAATAATGTTGCATTGAAAATAGAGGTGCATATATTCTTTCAAATTAGTTTTTGGGTTTTTGGGATATGTTCTCAAAAGTGGAATTGCTGGGTCACAAGGCAGCTCCATTTTTAATTTTTTGAAGTAACTCCAAATTGGTTTTTGCAGTGGCTGTATCAACCTTCATTCCAACGAACAGTTCACAAGGATTCTCTTTTCTCCAGAACTTCACCAACACTTGTTGATTTATTGATAATAGCTATTTTGACAAGGTTGAGGTGATACCTCATTGTGATGACATTTTGCATTTATCTAATGACTAGTAACATTGAGCATCTATTTGTATCTTTGGAGAAGTGTCTATTCAGGATCTTTGCCCTTTTTTAAATTGGATTGTTCTTTTGTTTTTTGGGGGGGGTTTTTTGGGAGGGAGTGGTGTTGAATTATATAAGTTCTCTATAAATTTTGGAAATTAATCCCTTATCAGATATACTATTGGTGAATATGCCCTCCCATTCAGTGGTTTGTTTTTTAGTTTGCTGATTGTTTCCTTTGCCGCGCAAAAACTTTTTAGCTTGATGTAGTCCCATTTGTTTATTTTTTCTGTTTCCCTTGCCCAAGGAGATATATCAGAAAAAATATTGCTGAGAGAAATGTCTGAGATATTACTGCCTGTATCTTCTAGGATTTTATGGTTTCGAGTCTAACATCTTAGTCTTTAATCCATTTTGAGTTTATTCCTGTGTGTGGTGTGAGAAGGTGGTCTAGTTTCTTTTTTGCATGTGTTTGTCCAGTTTTCAATATTATTGAATAGACTATCTTTACTCCATGGTATGTTCTTGCCTCTTTTGTCAAACATTAATTGGCCATAAAGGTGTGGGTTTATTTCTGGGCTCTCTATTCTGGTCTATTAATCTATATGTCTGTACCTTGCTGTTTTGATTACTATGGCCTTGTATTATAGCCTGATATCTGGTATTGTGATTCCTCCAACTTTGTTCTAATTTCTCAAGATTGCTGTGATTATTTGGGATCTTTTGTGGTTCCATATAAAATGTTCTAATTCCGTGAAAACATTTTAAAATGTAAGAGTTAACTGTTGAAAACTAACGTTTCTTAATCGTGCTTCAGTGATAAAAGAATAAGATAATTGGTAGATTGTCTGCTAATTCAGACTCCTCTTATTAGAAGAGAGTTGCCATGCTTGAGTGTTAGTTATAGGAATTGCCCCTCTTCTGCCATTGGAAAAACTGAAACTTCATGGGAGCAGGTCATTCTGTGCATGCTCCCTGTCATCAATTCCTAGAGTTCCTGTTACGTGAAGCCCCATGGGCCGAATAAAAGCTGTGTTCTTTGAAATAATGAGTTTGCAACTCAAGTATTACTTTCCAAAGTATTTCTCCACGTCAGTCAATCTATTTTGAGTTGGTATCTTTTAAACAACTTTTTTTTTTCTCATGGAGATCACAGACCTGAAACTTTTAGGTATTCCCATAATGGAGATAAGTCTTTTTTAAAAATTGGATGTGTCCCCACCTTTTCCCCCCAGCCACATAAGCTTGTTCAACTGTTGTTACCGACCATAGAAAAGTTTAGACTCTTAATTATTATAATATTCTATCTATTGGAGTCTCTAGGGACATAATTTTGTGTTCTTTTTGCCTTAAGAAAATGCAGTGGAGGTGAATTTAGAAACTTAACAACCATCTGGACATTATGAAGGATCAGACCTCCTTCTGCCTACATTTAACAGAATGGCAAGAGGTATAGTAGCCCTAATGGAGTATAGTTAAGATTGTAGATTTTTTTTTTGTCTTTATGATACCCATTATTATCCATATGCAGGAGAAGATCTTTTTGACCTCATACCAGTGTTTCAAGTTTTGTGTCATTTTTTTACTAAAAAGCAGGAAAACATTAGAGAACTGAAATAATCTTTTTTCATCCACTGATTTAAGTATCTTTTCTTCTATAGAAACTAAATTATGATGTCTTCCCTCCCCAAGTTGTGTACAGTTTTAGTAGAAAAAAGAGTTGTATGCTGACAAATGACAATACCTGTAAAGACAATATGTATTAAAGGACATACACATCATTCAAAACATAAATAGGAGTGGAAAATGCCACAATTATGATACATATATAAAGTTTTCTTGTGTTTTTTTTTTTTTTTTTAAATCTCTTAATTCTACTTATGGGTAGGAAGGGTAAATTCTGTTAACCTCAGATGGAAATTCTCTGGTACAAAAAAGGTTAACATCCCATAAAAAGAGGCATAGCCTACATGTGTCAAAGTTTCCTAATTTTAATTCCTGGTTCTTCTTAACCAAAACATATATTCAGTCCTATAGTTAAAAAATGATTGATTTCTTGAACCATGAATTTTTCCATTTATTCAACAAAAAGTTGTTTAAAAACCTACTATGTGCATAGCACAGCGCCAGGTGGTAAGCCAATAAATTTGAAGTAATGTTTGCTCTATTCTCTTATTCAGGTATTTTATTGCAAACTATTAGAAGAGGCCAATCGAGGCTCATTTCCAGCAGAGATGGTGAATAAAATCTTTTCTAATATTTCATCAATAAATGCCTTCCATAGTAAATTCCTATTGCCAGAACTGGAGAAACGAATGCAAGAATGGTAAGGAGTAGATAGCAAATGATATGTCTAAGGCAGTCATACTAGATGCTGCATTATTCAGCTTTTAAATTGAAATACTAATGTTATACAAAGCTGTAGCCAAATATTTGGGCTAAATTTTTATGCTAAAGATCAATAATAGAAGGTGTACATTTTCAATTTTAGTTGAAAAGTATTTCATCTCTGCTCTTTAAACTATTTTGACTAGTGAAGATATGATATTATGGAGCTTGAAGATTCTTAATATCGCTTTTTATTATATCATTCCTAAACTTCGTTTAATTCTCTACCTTCCTTCATTCTCTACCAATCTCATAGCAGAGTGAATCTGATAAAGTACAGGGTGTGTGTAGAAAGGTGATTACTTCTTTTGAAGTCCTGTTAATTCACGCATTCTATAAGAAATTTTAATGACTTGTTTCTATATTTTATACAGGGAAACTACCCCTAGAATTGGTGACATCCTCCAGAAATTGGCACCATTCCTTAAGATGTATGGAGAATATGTGAAAGGATTTGATAACGCAGTGGAATTGGTTAAAAACATGACAGAGCGTATTCCCCAGTTCAAATCAGTAGTTGAAGAAATTCAGGTAATATGACTATTTTAAGGCTGTGCATCAGTAGTTCTGTACAAATCATAACGTTTCTAGATATAAAATTTAGATTGTGATATCTGTCTGAGATACCTAGCCAAATTCCTTCGACTCTGAATTATGTAAAAACCATCTCTGCAAAATTAAAATATTGAGCATATGCCATGTGTTGAACAATAAATTCTCCATTTGCTTTTGAGAGCAAGAGAGTGCTTTTATTAGGGTCCATGTAAATTACAAAGTGAATTCCCATTTAGTTCTGTGCCTTTCTTGCTTTCCTTTAGAGGTTGAAATGAATATAAATGAATATAAAGAATAATAGTTATAGTTTTTCTCTCATTGATATTCCTGTCTCCCTCCCTCTCTCCTTAAAATCAATAAGAACATTGTTTAAAACGAATGATTGTTATAAATCCTGATATTTTAGAAACATAATTATTTGGGATTTTTTTGTGACTTCATATGATTTTTTTTTTAAATGTTATGACACCTGAATAATATAATAAAATTTAATAATACCATAGTAATTTCTATTTGATTTTCTAGTCGAAGTTGTTAATAACTATTCTGTGCTAAAGTTTAAATATTTAAAAGGAATTCTTTAGATCACATACATTTTTGGGGAATTCTGTATCCCTTGACTGCTCCCTTTTGCATTTCCTCCTTCTCTCTCTTTTCCTGTGAGATATTGTGTTCAAGGTGCTTACCATGGAGCTTGTTGCATAATAAGTGCTCACTACACGATGCTGGTGATGGTGGTCAATATTTTATCAAATCAGAAATCTGTCTCTGCATTGTCTGTCATTTCCATATTATGAGGAAATGATGGGGCTGTGAAAGGCATGTTGGATTGAGAATCAGCTAACTTAATTTAGAATCCTCGTCTGCCACTTAACAATCATTTTGCCTTAGAACAGTGTTTCCCAAACTTCTCTCATGATGAGAATCACCTGGTGGAGTTGTTAAAATACAGATTCCTGAATCCCAACTAAGAAGTGCTAAACTAGAATTTTTGGGAACATTGTATGCTTAACTAGTGCTCTAAGTATACAATTTTACCTATATGTTCCCAAAAATTCTAGTTTAGCACTTCTTAGTTGGGATTCAGGAATCTGTATTTTAACAACTCCACCAGGTGATTCTCATCATGAGAGAAGTTTGGGAAACACTGCCTTAGAAAGCTGTCCTAACTCTCCGAACCACAGTTTCTTTATGTACAAATTTTTGGATCAGTAATGTTATGTGTGTGTGTGTGTGTGTGTGTGTGTGAGAGAGAGAGAGGGAGGGAGGGAGGGAGGGAGGGAGGGAGGGAGAGAGAGAGAGAGAGAGAGAGAGAGAGAGAGAGAGAGAGAGAGAGAGAGAGAGAGAGAGGTTAAGGAAAATAAAAAGAGATAGCTAAACTTATAACATTAATATTTTTTTAATTTTTTATTTTATTGATTTTGTACAGAGAGGAAGGGAGACAGAGAGTTAGAAACATCGATGAGAGAGAGTCATCGATCAGCTGCCTCCTGCACACCCCCTACTGGGGATATGCCCGCAACCAAGGTACATGCCTTTGACCGGAATCGAACCCGGGACCCCTCAGGCCCCAAGCCGACGCTCTATCCATTGAGCCAAACCGGTCTCGGCATAACATTAATATTTATTAAACAAAGCCATTACCCCTCAGCTTCCATGCTAATTTCAGGCTCTTTTTACATTTCCTGGTTTACAGTAACGACTTCCAAACTAGCTTTCCCACATCTTCCTAAAGCCCTATTGCAGTAGATTGATCACTCCCCTGCATGGAAACCTAAAACAATACTAAACTCAGTTTGACATTATTACCCCAGATTACTGTTTCTTCTTCACTCTGTTTCCACACAGATATATTATTTGCTTACGAAACTCCATTGTTCCATTTTATTGACCATGTTTCATGGCCCTCTGCCTGGGGCCTGTTCTCCAGGGTCCCTCTATCTTCACTTGCCTCCTGATCTTCCTCATCTGCCTTCCCCCTGAAGCCTGCCCTCATCCGAGTTCAGGTTAAATGTTCTGTTCTCTGTGAAGCCTTTGGTTTCTTGTTTGCTTTAAATGCTAACATCATGTCTTATACCACTTATATATAACCTTGCCTTAATCATGGTATAAGTTGAAGATTCGTGCTTTATTTAATATGAACAAGAACACATCTTACTTTTCAAGTAATCTTTTCCCTTTCTTATGTCAACAGCTTATTGAAAACAAATGCTATAGACTCAATTTCACCCAGAAAAAAAAAAAAATCTATTTATGGAGTTTTGTTTCTAATGGAAAAGAATGCGATGACCTAATGAAAAATTCTGACAGATAATGAAATGATCAGAACTTGTCATCTGTGTAGTCTTTTTTAAGTTCCAAGGAAATAACGTTTTTGGTGGCCTTATTATAAAATAGTTTCTGCTGAGTCCAAAGTCATTTAATAAATTTTTTCTTAGTGAAGCTCTTTAAATAGTAGATACTTCTTTTGAAAATCTCTGGAGTATGATTTAATAATATGACCTCACACAGACTTGTAATGACTAATTGAAGTGGTTGCCAGCAATCTGGAATTTTCTTGCTGAAAATCCTGCTTGGTTTTCCTTTCTGTTCTTACCCTCAGTTGGTTGTCCTCAAACTGAGGTGGAAGAATCAGGGGTGTTTTCAATGCACACGCCCAGGCCCCTAACATAAAAGATTGTAGTTTCGTAGATTGGGATGGGGTTGAAAATTCCAATGTTTAATAGTACAGCAGTTATATCTAAGGCAGATGATACACAGACCGTACTCTGTAGGGAGACACTGCCCTTGATGAAAGCTCTGTATTACATTTTTTGACTAGCTAATCTAATTTTTAAATCTTTCTTTACAAACCTTTCCAATTACAGAAACAGAAGGTCTGTGGGAACTTGACCTTGCAGCACCACATGCTGGAGCCCGTTCAGCGGATCCCTCGGTATGAGATGCTCCTGAAGGACTACCTGCGGAAATTGCCCCCTGACTCTCCAGACTGGAATGATGCAAAAAGTAAATGCTTTCCCCGCCCTTTTCCATTATGGGGTAATGTAGTGGCCAAGCAGCTTTGTGATTCCAACGTAAGATATAGATCTGATAGACACTTCAGGAAAATATTGGTGCCAAAAAATAATCTCACTGGATGATGTTATCAGCACCTCAATTAGGCAAGCACTTTAGAGCAATGCAAATCACATTTCTCATTAATCGTTAACTCTGAAATATAAAACTGTAGTCTTAGGCTCAGCAGTTAGAGCGTAGGCCTGTGCACCGTAGGATTGTGGGTTTGATTCAAGAGCTCGTACCTGGGTTGCAGGTTTGATCCCCGACCTGTAACTTGGATTCCTGTAGGGGGCAACTAATAGATGTGTCTCTCTGGGCAGTGGCTCAGCCTGTCTTGCTTTGTTCCCCTCTCCCTTGGATTCTGTGTGGAATGCACAGAATTGTCCGTATCAGCACAGTTCTCCAGAATGTAAATAAGATTCAGTTTCTTCTATGCTTAAAGACTCTGACTTCCTCTTACATGCTAATGTCAAAAATGATCAAATTGGCAACGTGATGTTTTTTTACTCTTTTTGATTTCCTGTTGCTACTTAAACTAAAGTCCTAAGGAAATCACGGAGGGAGACATAAAAGTTGGGAAAGCAACGGAAGTGCAATATGTTTTGTAATGGAACAAAGAAGACAGAAAATGTGGCCCAGAGCCAAGAGACTGTTGTAACAAAATTAACTCACCAGGATTCACAAGATAGAAAAGGAAGGAAGTGAATAGGATCTGACTTAGTATTGATAACATTCCCTGGGGTGGAGCCGGCAGGAGACCTCAGCTTTCCCTGCTTCACCTGGGGCCCCAGGCCTCCTACCTTGCTCAGACCTTGAGCTCCCATTGCCATCTCTCCATACCACCCACCCCTGCAGCAAAACCCTCCATCAGCATTGGCTGAGGCTAGAACTATGGCTGTCTTTGCCCAAAGAATGCTGGTCCTACTTAGTGGTCAAATTGCTCATAAAATGAATAAAATAATACCACTGAAAGGTTGTAGGAATTTGAGTCAGAAGAATTAGGTTTAAATGTGGCCCTTCAATATCATAGTTGTGTCACTTTAGCCAAGGCACATCACACTCCATTTCTTTCACCTGTCAAATGGAACAAATATACTTTCCGTTCAGGGTTCTATAAGGAGCAATTGACCTAATACCTATGAAAGCACCTGGCCGAGGGCCTTGTCTCAAGCTAGTGTATATGGTATTTGCTGATTTTGAAAGTTCCATATGGATTAAATCTATCTGTAAGCCTAATAATTGTCAGTGAGGAAATACCTTCCAAGTTCCAAGTATTGATCTACTTACAAATGAACTTCTGAAAGTATCCAGTTTGTACATGGAAATTGCCCCCTGCTTCTATTATGTGCTAGAAGCCTAATGCATGAAATTCATGCAAGCGGAGGCATTCCTCCAACCCCCACCCATGCCGGCACCCGGGACTCTGAGCTTCCATCGTAGCCCTGGCTTCGTCTGGTCTAATTAGCATATTGTGCTTTTATTATTATAGATATTTGGTCTCAGATTTCTGCTTTTTTTTTTTCCAGATTTCTTCTTATTGTACTGTAAAGTATATGTTATTCAGCTATCTAGTAGCATGGTAAGGACAATATACATTTATTGTATTTTATTTTTCTCTGTTTAGAATCACTGGAAATTATATCTACAGCAGCAAGCCATTCCAATAGTGCAATAAGAAAAATGGTAAGTGGTTTTCAGAGGAGACGGGCATCTTCTATTTAGATAATTGCCTAATATTGCCTAAGGTTTGTATCAAAATGAATTGGTGCAGGTAAACAAGAAGGATTGTTTCTAAACTGTTCAATGTTATCTATAATAATCTTCTCTTCATTTCCTCACAATTGACATATTTTATACCAAAATTTATACTTAGTTCCAATTGCTTCTGAGTTATTCATATTTTAGCTAAGGTTGTTGTATTCTTAAAACCACTAAGGTGAAACCTCCTTATATTTGATGTTGCTGTGCTTTGTTTTCATTTCTTAGGATAACCTGAAGAAACTCTTAGAGATTTATGAAATGCTGGGAGAAGAGGAAGACATTGTAAATCCTTCCAATGAACTAATAAAGGAAGGACAGATCCTTAAACTAGCTGCTCGAAACACATCAGCACAGGAACGCTACCTTTTGTTGGTGAGTATTGTCATGTGAGCAAATTGTTTAAGAATAACTTATAAGCATTGCCATATGCATCTTGGGAAAGTAGGATGTTGCCGCTCTCCAAAGCAATGGTGTCTAACCTGGTGCCGTCGCCACTGTCAAGACTCCACATCGGGAAAGTCCTCCGTAACTGAAACTTGTTCTTTCAAGGATACAAATGTTTATTTTGAAGTATTTTTTCTATAATTTTTCTGTGTATTCGCCATATGTCATTTACTCTGGTAACACATCTTAAAGACAATTAAACCTTTCCAGCATGGTCAGAGCTGTCAGTGGGTGTGTGTATGAGGTGTATATGACATGCTTTCCGGTTTCATCTCCTTTCATTCTTAAAGGCTAAACGGAACTGTTTCCTGGATATTGTGTCAGCAAATTGTTTCTTGACAACAGTTTTCTTCCTACTCATGTCTAACCACTACCTTTTAGCCTTTCTAGTTTGAAGAAATACATAAGCTATGTTGGAAAACAGGTGCCTACAATTTGTATGTGAAAAGTACATGAGATTCCTGTGTGGATCTCACTGCAGTCGGGCCTGTCCCTGCCTGCACTTCCTGAAATGACCATTAGTCTGGGGTTTGGCTGACATGTAAGATATCTCCTGGGCAATCCAGGCAGTTTATTTCTAGTCACTGGTAGTTCCAGCTCCTTTTCCTATCTAATGATATGACAATCATCATAATAGCTAACGTTGAGTAACAGAAAGCTAACGTTGAGTGGTAGCTCAGTAAACGTTAGCTGTTATTGCGATTATTATTATAGGCAAAGGAGCAGAGACACATTGGCATAGAGGCTGTTCAGTGACTGGCACACGGTACAGTCTCAGGATGTTACTCACATCTGACTTTTCTGCTGCAAGGCTGTTATCTCACCATTATAATATGAGTTGTTATTGGGGGCTTAGAAGTTTCTGTTGTCTGGTTACAATTTCCTTAAATGTCACGCAGAGGAGTGGTCTTAATTTTGAAAAAAATAAAGAACACATGATTGCCATATGACCCAGCAGTTCCACTCCAAGTTTGTATAACTCAAGAAAATTGAAAACATATGTCTACACAAAACGTGTACATGAATGTTCATAGCAAAATTATTCATACTAGTAAAGAAGGGTAAACAACCTAAAGGTTTATTAACTGATGATGGGTAAATAAAATGTGGTATACCCATGCAGTGGAATATGATACATAAATAGAAAGGAATAAACTACTGATACCTGCTACATGGATGAACTTTGAAAATGTGTCAAATGAAAAAAGCCATTCACAAAAGGCCACCTTGTATGATTCCATTCATATGAAATGTCCAGAATAGGCAAATGCATAGAGGTAGGATGTAAGTAGTGATTACCTAGGGTTCATGGGAGGAGGAAGTGGACACAAGGTTTCCATTTGAAGTCATGAAATGTTCTGGAATTAGATGGTAGTGGTCATTGCACAATGTATGGCTCTCCTAAAAACCATGAATCATACATTTTAAATAGGTATATTTTATGGTATATAAATTATATTTCAGTAACTTTTAAAAATAACAGATATTGTCCAAATTAACTATGAGAATCATTTGAGTTCATCACAAGCACTTCACCTTTCAGAAGTTGTTAAGAGACCTACATATAAATCAGGGACATGTCCTGTCAGGGTTCAGAGGTCTACTTATTTTGAAATGTAGATTTTGTTATTTAGGTGTGGTGAGGCCACCAGATTGGAGATGATTGCCATTGAAAAGATAGTTATACTAACAGATCCCAAAGGAGGGGGCATTTCACACCATGGGGACGGGGGGGGGGGGGGGGGGATGTTACATGAGAAAGCACCAGAGTCAAGAGCAGAGGGAACAAGCAGAAAACATGGGCAAGAGCTTTACTGTCATTTCTGCAAGAAGGAATGGGCCAGGCAAGGGAAACGGGTTTAGGGTTTGCCAGTGTACATGATCTTATCAGGTCCTGGTGCTTAGGGGCTGTTGTCAGGGACCTGGCCCTAGGTGATCAGGGCAGGGCAATTCTGACTCAGGTAGTGAGAGCCTGATAAAAGAGGCTTTAGGGTATGTGGACTTTGGATAGGTTGGTTTCCATCTGAAAGTCACTCTTACAGGTGAGTCATTTCCTGGCTTTGGAAATAGATTAACTCTGGGAGGGTAGTCCCTTTAGGGTCAGCGAGGTCCCAAGATGTCAAAACAGTACCCAGACGGGGTTGGTTGAGCATCAACCTACAAACCTGGAGGTCATGGTTTGATTTCCAGTCAGGACACATGCCCGGTTGTGAGCCCTATCTCTGGTAGGGGGCGTGCAGGCAGCAGTCGATTAATGATTCTCTCTCATCATTGATGCTTCTATCTCCCTCCCTCTCTCTCCCTCTCTGAAATCAATGAAAATATATTTTGAAAAACAAAGATGTTGCCCTTAGTGGTTTGGCTCAGTGGATAGAGTGTCGGCCTGTGGACTGAAAGGTCCTAGGTTTGGGCCCAGCCTGGCACCTTGACCAGTCAAGGGCATGTACCTTGGTTGCAGGTACATCCCCAATAGGAGGTGTGCAGAAGGCAGCTGATAGATGTTTCTCTCTCATTGATGTTTCTAACTCTCTATCCTTCTCCCTTCCTCTGTAAAAAATCATTAAAATATATTTTAAAAAACACACAAAGATGTCAAAGCATCAAAAATACATATTAAAGAGACATGTATAATACATTCTTCTGGGCAAAATGCCTGGGAGTCAATGTCTTCTTTTTTTCATTACAGGTGTGTGTGTGTGTGTGTGTGTGTGTGTGTGTGTGTTTATGTGTATGTGTGGGTGTGGTAGGATATTCTGTTGATTAAGTAAATAACCACACCTGACATCTGAAGGTTAAAAAAAAAAATCACTGAATTATTTTATAAAGTATAAAATGACCTAAGAGGTTTTATTCTTGACCTTTTGGAGTTCTATTTCCTATTTCCTTGTAGCTTGATAGATTTAGATTCCCACCCTTCCCCAACCCCAACTCATTAAAATTTAAATAGGCTCTGGAAATTTCTCCAACAGTGTACTTTTACTTTCTCAAACTTTAATGAAACAGTCACTATTGAGACATGAAATTGAATTATTTCATTCAAATAAATACATTTTAAGAAACTTGAAATAAATAATTGAGGAATATTAGAGATCAAGAAGGAGGCACTTCCCTATGCTTTTAATAAACTTGAGACTTGTTTCAAGGTTTGGGCCCAGCCTGGCATCTCCAGAGCTTACTCGCCAGCCAGGGATTGCTTTGAAGATATCTACTTCAGAGCTATGAGCATGGAATAAAAAGGAACCCCCTACACTGAAAAGGAAAATTGATCTACTCAGAGTTACAGATGATCTAACTTCCTCTTTCAGTATCCGTGGGAACCCAGAGGGAAGGTGATGGTGGCTTTTGCCACAGGAACAAGGTTCATGAAGGGAACAGGGCTAACCACCTAAGTCCTTTACATACATGGCCTCCACTTCTTTGTAAGCAATATTTTGTCTCCTTCAAGAGCTCTGACCATCATCTCTGGGAAGAAGAAAAGAGTATTTATTGACTAGCATTAGATTGTGACCTACGTAATAAAAGGTTATAAGAAGTTCCATTTAGGAAGAATATAATAGGGGAAATGTAATCCTGAAAACATGAAAGGGGAAGAGAAATTTATCATCCTTTATAAAAAAGCCTAATATGCAACCAGGAGTTCAACTGCTTGCTATGACATGTGCTGACCACCAGGGAGGGTGGGCCGGAACATGGCGGGCATTGGCAATGAGGTGCTGGCAGTGGGCAGCAGTGAAGGCGCTGCTGGCCCTGATGGGCCCCGACAAGAGTGGGACCACACTGGGATGTGGAGCAGGTGAGCAGGCTGCACCAGGTCAAGGCAGGTATGAGCGGAGGCCCAATAGCCTCCACAGACAGCAACCAGTGGCAGAGGATGGGGCTGCCACCGGGCTCTCAGCACCTGGGTGGCCCAGCCCTCATGGATCACCCCACAGGCAGGATGATGGAGCAGGTGAGGGGGTGGCACTAGGTCAAGGAGGGGCTGTGAGGCTAGGGGGCACAAGATGGGGCCTGATCTCCGCAGGCCACCCCAAGGGACCCTACCTATGCATGAATTCATGCACCAGGCCTCTAGTTCAGTGTAAGATATTTTGACCCTGGCTGGTGGCTTAGTTGGTTGGGCATCATCCATGCACCAAAAGATTGATGGTTCAATTCCAGGTCAAGGCACATGTCTGGGTTGTGGGTTTGTTCCCTGGTAGGGGGCATGCAGGAGGCAACCAAATGATGTTTTTCCATCCCTCTCCTTTTCCCTCTAAACATCAATAAACTATTTTTTTTAAGAAGGAAGGAAGGAAGGAAGGAAGGAAGGAAGGAAGGAAGGAAGGAAGGAAGGAAGGAAGGAAGGAAGGAAGGAAGGAAGGAAGGAAGGAAAGATTGTTTTGTTTTTTGTTTTTAAAGACAGCCTATCATCTTGTATGAGCGTAATTCCATAAAGCAGATACTGAGAACTTCCATATTCATCAACTTGTATTTCTATAAAATAATAAGACTTGGCTGAATTTTATAAAGTGAACTTGAGTACCAACCATTACATTTATTACTCAGGATGCAGAAACAGATGGTTCTTGTTGCCATCTTGACTGTGTGAGCCTGTCCATTTTGGTGCAGCTTGTCCTGCACCGTGCACAGCTGTGACCAAATCCCTCCCGGAAGGCTTAGAAGAGAGAAAGAAAAGTAAACATGAACAGGTAGCAGGCAAGCTGGTACCTTCATCAAGCTGGGATGGTGCTGAGAACCTTGCAGTGCAGTTTCAAATCAAAATCCCAGGTGTTACAATGAGGCTCTGATTGCATAAGTTAGAATACAGCAGACATGATAAAGGCTCGGGTCATTAATCCCCTTAGTGTTCTCTTCTAGAGATGTAAAGGTGAAATGTGGTGCTGAGATATATCTGATAAAATGTATTTAGTGTCCTCCTATTTCTACATTATCCAGTTGTGGAAATGAAATTTCTGACACTGATTACAGGAAGTTGCAAAATAATGTATGAGGAACAATTGGTGAGAAATTGACTTTCAGAATGAGTACAAAAGATGGTATCACATAAACATGTGGAAATACCTTTAAAATATCCATCACCATTTCTTTATGGCCATGTGGAGCCAAAGAGAGGAGCTGGCAGAACCAGAATTTTCCTTTTAATTCTGTCACCAACCTATAATTTTTACAGTGAATGATCCTAAGACCTCACAGGTTACGTGACTCATAAGGGTTTAAGTCCCAATTGCTCGTGTCTTTAAAAAATATATGTAACCTTAGAAATAGTAAATATGAAGTAGGAATATAGGTATGGATCTTTCCACAGATTAACCCAAATATTTACTCTTTCATCCTTTTGCATATTTTAATACATTCAAAGGGCACTAATTGCCCTCCCAAAGTCACTCATTGCTTGGGCCTGATAAGCAGGAGCTGCTCCTTGTTGACTAGAAAAGAGGGACTACACATAATTTGACGAGGCTCAAAATAAAGTTTTTCATTTTAAGATAGATCCTGTAAAGATCTTTAAAGACTTTTTACTAAAATAGATGGCTTTTCTATTAATTCATATGGGATGAATTTTTTTGGTCTATATAAAATAGTGACTTGTTTTTTTGTTTGTTTGTTTTTTACATTGACAATGTGCCCACATGTTTGAATAAAATTTAATCATTTTTGCTATATATTAACTTAATAAATACACTGATAAAAAGAATGGCTAAATATTAAACTTTTTCTCTGACATCTATTATAGAATTGCTCTCTAAGATATAGCAATTAGAAATTTTGTTCTCTAATACTTCAGCCTTATGGATTGATAGTTTCAGTCGCTGGTATGTGGAAGGTTCTTAATATATTGTTGCTGAATTGAATTAATTTCTTGAATGGTTCAAAATAATGGTTGGTTTATTGAAATATCAATAAAATATTTATGAACCAACAAAGGAAAGTATAAGCTATGCATTTTAAACTATGATAATTTTGGTACAAGCACAAAATCTCATATAGTATTTAAATAATTTTGCTCACATACAAAGTCTGGTACTCCTTGGGAAGTCCTTGGAGTATTGTCTAGAGCTACATTCAGAATTGGTCACTTTTTTCTCGCTCTGTGTTCCTCTTTATTGACATGTGTTCTGTCCCCTTGCAGTTCAACAACATGTTGCTGTACTGTGTGCCAAAATTCAGCTTGGTAGGCTCCAAGTTCACAGTTCGAACCAGGGTCGGTCTAGATGGCATGCAGATTGTGGAGACTCACAATGAGGAATATCCGCACACTTTCCAGGTATCTGGGAAAGAGAGAACATTGGAATTGCAAGCCAGGTAAGAGAGCCATTCTTATCACACAGCTTTCAAAAATCATCAGAATTCGTTGTAGAATAGAAAATGCTGAGTCTTTCCCAAGTGAATGCTACAAACCTCTATGAGTCTGGTTGGACATAAGTGGAGAGGCAGAAGCCCTTAAAAAGCAGGAATTATATCTTCCCTTTTGATTCTCCCACAATGCCTAGGATAGTCGTTTTCAGAAATTAATGCTCATTAAGTTATTTTTACTCTTTAGATTTACAAGGTGCTCAGAGAATGAAGTTGTGTTTAAGCCAACGTTTTGAGTCTTATAGGAAAAGATTCTCCCCTAACCCTTTTCCCCTCCATCCTGATTGGACCTGGCAACAAGGAGAACTCCCCTAGTTCTGAATGTTAGAGGAGTCTCCATTGTGGAAGCATGAAGGTGCCGCCAGCTCTGAAATGTCAGCATACTTCCAACTCTATAAACCAAGGGGTGTGTTGGAGCAGCTGAAGATTATGAGGTTCTTGGGGTGCCTCACCGGGGACTCCAGCCTTTCCTTAGCAGCTGGGGCTGTTTTTAGGGTGGAGCTGGCTCCTGGGGAGTTTTCTTAACTGCAGGTAGTCATCACTTTGCAGAGTTTCAATATGTGGTATTGGATATGTTCCAATTAGTTTTCAAAACATGATCATTTTCCCTAATATCATTGCTTTAGTTCTACTTAAGATTATATGGTAAATTGAAGGCCAAAATTAAGTGATTACTTGTCATCTAGTCTGTAATGACTCAAGAATGGAGACAAACATTGAAAAAGTCAGAGTGTTAGTGGGATTACAGGGAACCCCAAATTGGATACGTATTTAGAGATATTTCGAGAGAATTTGCCTCTTGAGGGGGGAAAAACAGGGCTCTGCTTTTCTTGCTAAATGAGCCAGCCCAAAGAGTGACCTTTTATGCTCTGTGTGCCCTTCCTGTTCAAAAGAATATAAAGTATTCTTAGTTTCTGTAGTTTTTATTTAATTGTTTTTGGTTGCTGAATGGATATAAAAATATAGTGGTAAGTAAACTTTAAAAAAGGATTGAAGAGTTGTCAAGTTCCTTAGCATTTAAAAAGCTAAAAGCAGCTAGTATGCACGGATGCTTTCAGGGCAGTAGAGCTGATTCTGTGAGGGTAGGATACAACAATAAGGAGCATCTTTTTTGAGGGAAGAGATTGATATCACACGGCCCGCCCGTGCGCGCCCCCCCCCCCCCACCACTGCCACTACCAAGGATCCCCAGATGAACAACAAGCAGAATCTTTCATTTTATGGGTATAGATTCCAGCATCATTCTTGGGATATTGTGGTACTTAAAAATAAATTTACTGGAAGGGTGAAAAGTGTCATAGGAGCAAACCTCCTGCCAGACTCATTTGTAGTGATTTTTGTGGGACCAAGGCATGTGACATTCAGGCAGAACTCAAACTTAGCCCTAGCCTACCAAACACAGGCAAACAGAGCCCACTCTTTGGAGATCTTAGGCCAGAGTCTACTAAGGGGGATTTCTCTTAAGAGTTATATGACAACAACCAGCTCTATAAGCTATCTGCAAGAGAGAATGGAATAAAGAAAATTTGCCTCAACAGGAAAACCAGGGGATTTAATTAATGTCAAGGGAATTTTTTCCCAATAAAAAAATTATTAATAATTGGGGTCCATTAATCTGTGCAACTTCCTCCTTACAGGCATTTAAACTGTTTGTTTTTCTTTATCTGTAATAACTAAGCCTTCTAGCAAAATAAAATTAAATTGTTCATCAAAGGAAATCTATCTCTCTCTATCTCTCTATCTATCTATCAATCTATCTATCTATCTATCTATCTATCTATCTATCTATCTATCTAAAAGGCTAAGCAACCGTCCAACCAGTAGCTATGGTGCGCAATGACCACCAGAGGGCAGATGCTCAATGCAGGAGCTGCCGAGCTGCGGTGACTTGGCAGCAGTGGTTCTCAGGTGACGCACTCTGGAACCAGAGAGAAAGGAGCCCAATTCCAGGATGTGTCACCCGAGAACCGCCCTCATGCAATCCAGGACCGTTAGGGGATTTCCGAGAGCTGGTTTTGGCCTGATCACTGCAGGCCAAGTCAAGGAGCCTCACCTGCCAGAGGGACCTCACTCACTCTGTAGATGCCATTTGAGCCTTGGCACCACCCCAGGTGCCGCCAGTTGGAGAGGGACCTCTGAGGTTGGCTCCAGGGTATATCTGGCCCATCTCACACAGTCCCACCCTGCTGGCCACTTTCTAATTAATTTCCCTTCGATGTGCACAAATCTATGCAACGGGGCTAATTATAATCTTTCTTAAGATGGGCTCTGGCCCATAGCCTTGAAAGGCCCATCTACTTTTATAAAGGTGAATTTAAGGCTACTTGTATATCCAGTGCCTGATGTCTATACCAGTAACTAGATAATGGTTGTTAAACTTAATGGCAGGGCATTCTATTTAAAAGCTAAACTTATCTCTCCCCATCAAAAATTATCTGAACCAAAGTAAGTGGATGCTCTAAAACTCTGTTCAAGAATTTATTTGTTCAATTGCCAGAGAGTCTGTTTAATTTTAATTATAACTCTTTCTTGGACATCCCTGAGTTTTCCGGAAAATTGGAAGAACATTAAAACATAGTTTGATTCACCAGGTGTAACTCATTAATGGTTTCTGCATTCAGCTTAATTTTGTTTTGTTTTAGTTCTGAACAAGATAAAGAAGAATGGATCAAGGTAAACCTTGTTTCTATTTTTAGTTTTTGTTTTGGCAATCTCTGTATGTGAACGCAAACACGCAGATAATGTTGTACTGTGTCATCAGATCAAAGTCATTGAAAGTTTTTTTTTAATCTGTACCCGATGAGTGAGGATATTTTTTCCATTAATTCTTATAGAGAGTAGAAAGGAGGAGGGAAGGGAAGAGTGAAGAGAGAGGAGAGAGACAGGAACATCAATATGACAGAGACATCTGGGTTAGTTGTCGACCACATGTGCCCCTAGCCAGGGGCCAGGATCGGACCTGCAACCCAAGTATGTGCCCTTGACTGGGTATCGATTCTGCAACACTAGTGTGTAGGCTAATGTTCTAACCACCAAGCCTTGCAGGCCAAGGCAAACTCATTTAATTTTTAAAGTGATTCCCATCATAGATATTTGCTTTATAAAGTATTTTAATAAATTTTCATGTGATACTTTAATATGTGCTTTGAACTTTATTTATATTTTAGGCCCTTCAAGAGACTATCGATGCTTTCCATCAGAGGTATGAAACCTTCAGAAATGCGATTGCAAAGGATAATGACATACAGTCAGAGGTTTCCGTAAGTTGAGTTAAATTCTTAACTTTAGGCTCTTTGCAATTACAAAAGACCTATCTGGTCATTTGGTTATCTACCCTTTTTTCTTCACAATTCCCAAACAGGCTATTAGTCAGAATCTCCTTCCTTCTTAGATGAATGTAATAGTGAGTGCCTTTTATATGCTGCTTAAACTTCTTTGAACTTTTTACTTCTTTACCAGAACATGGTATGAGCAATGTTGTTAAAGTGCTTGGAAAGAGGGCAGGCAGGAAGGAAGGAAACAACAGGTGTGTTTTTTTTGTTTTTTGTTTTCTGTTAAAATTGAATCTCTCTCCCCTTTTTAGACTGCTGAGCTAGGGAAAAGAGCCCCGAGATGGATCCGAGATAATGAAGTAACAATGTGTATGAAATGCAAAGAGCCTTTCAACGCACTGACCAGGAGAAGGCATCATTGTCGAGCATGTGGACATGTAAGTGAGGTTGCTTGGTCATTAAGATGGCCAGTAACTCTGTAAATATTATAAAATCATCAACTTGGGAAAGACACCAAAACTCACTCCATAGAGCACTTCATAGATACACTTGTTTTAGTGACAAGTATGCACAAAGCACAATGCTAGGTCCTGGAGAAAAAAAAAATGGTAACCAAAATGGCACCCATCTTCATGTAGCTTACATTCTAATGGAGAAAAAGAGACCAAAGTCGGGTAAATGGACAAATACGCATTTCAAACGACGATAGATGCAATAAGGAGGCATTCAAGAAGTTTAAAATGGAGAATAATGGCAAGGAAGGAGGATTTGGAACCACTTTCAGTTAGAAAAATGAAGATCTATCTGATGGGTTGATATGTGAGCTGATGTCTAAAAGGTGAGGAAGAGCTAACCACCGAAGGGAGTTGGGACGTGCGTTCGTGCAGAGTCGGTATCTCATACGCTCCAAGGCAGGCCAGAGCTTGGTCTTTTCTGGAGACTGCCATAGGCCGTGTGCTGGAGTGTGATGAGCAAGGGGAAGTGTGGCGGAAGAAACAGTTGAGAAATGATAACCAAAGGAGCTGATGGCTTTGAGAGACTAGACAGAACTTGTTAGCATAAGTGGAAGTTTGGGCTTTTGTGGGGGAGAGGGAAATTTCCCTCCATGGTAACGGAAAGGGAAAAACACACAAAACAGATGGCTGTAAATGTGGGGAGTTTTAATTTGCTGTTGGAAAATGAGGGAATTTAGGTCTGGTGCTATGTACTTTTCATCGAGGTAGGAGAAAATGTCATCGGCTGGAAGTGAAGGGGGAAGAAGAAAGGTGGAGGCGGTTTGAGACAGGACTGAGGTGAAGTAGCCATCTCTGGGCAGGGAAGATGAGCCTGTCAGAGAAACAGCTGGACTGCTGGGTGCCCATCACACCATCACAGGTGTATGGTTATAAATGTGAAAAGGACAGAGTGGTCCATTTAAGGGCAGTGATCTTTCTCTGGCAAAATTCAGCAACTCAAGTCAGAGAAGGCACATAACAGGTTTTCAGAAATTGAGTTGTTTTGTAATAGAAAGAGGGACGAGGAACAAAACATGAAATGAAGCTGGAGAGAGGAGGCAGCAGGTTTTGAAGGGCCTTATAAACCTCGTTGCAGATTACATACTTTCCTCTAAAAAGCAACCAATAAACAGAAGGGTAGGCATTGCAGTGTAAAATGTTATTAGTGTGCTTAAGTGCAACTATTCTTATTAATAGCTCTCTTAGATCATCCTCACACTATAGATTTATTCTTCCTCTTTTTCTGAGTTTTGACTCAGCAAGGCCATTTTGTAGTCAAATTAAAGTGATAGCAAACATTCTTCCCTTTTCCCCCACAAGGGTATGACTTTTAAAAATCTGATCAAATTTGCTTGAAATGATTTTAGGTATTGATATATTTGGTTCAGTGAACAAACAAAAAAATGTGTTTAAATGTGGATCATCAAAATACTATGATATGATTTAAAAATAAGATATCAGTTAGTAGAAGATACAGAGGAGTCTAATTCTAAATTCTAGAGTAATTTTATTATAGTTATATCATGAATTTTACATGCTGTGAACCTAAACTAAAAGTTTTACAAATATTTACATTTCTTAAATAGAGTTTGTTCACTATGAATTGAGGGGAGGGGGGAAATATGCATTTAGAAGCAAGAAGATAAATTTTTTAAGTGGAAGTGTTTTTTTAATTAACAATTATCCTATAGAAATTAAGGAAAATACCATTCAAGAAATGTTTATTTAATGTTTATTAAATAAATAATCACACAAGTATATGAGTATAACTTGTAAATCAGTACATGAAAAAGAGCACAGGGAACTTGACTGGCACAGTGCTAAGCGACATGCTCTGTCCTGGAAGTTGGAGGACTCTTCCTTAAAGAAGTGAAGTTTGAGTCAACATCTGGAGGATGAGCGAGCTAACTCATGCAGCAGAGATGAGGCGGGAGGGCCGTAGAAGCCAGTGTCACTAGAGATATGGGGAGTCAGAGGAGCAGATAATGGAGGCGTTTGTAGGCCATAGTGAAAAGTATGTTCATTATCCAAGAGCATAGGGAAGACTGAAGGATTTTAAATAGAGAGAAACGTATTAGATTATGATTTTTAAGAGACCATCTGGAGCTATTTGGAAAATAGCTGGGAGGGATGTAAGAACAGATGCCTGCAGGCCAGTAAGTGCTACAAGGAGCAATCATGAGGCTATAATAGTCCAAACGAGGATACTCAAAGCTTGGACTCGGGTGATTACAAGGAAGATGTAAGAAAATGGACAGATTGAAAACTTTCTAGGATGTAAGATTGACTCTTTGGGGTGAGCCATGGAGACGTATCAGGGATGTCCCTAGGTTTATGACTTGCCATGACTGGTTGAATGATGTGCTATCTTCTACTACAGGGAGCAAGAGGAGAGGAGGACAGGGTGGGAAGTGGGGGAAGGATGGGTAGGAGGAAGGAGAGCGCTGAGGAAAAGGAAATTCATGAACACATTTTGGCGGGATATTCAAGAAACATCCAGAGGTATGAAGTGTAAGGGTCTGGATTGAGCCTCCGAAGATCTCCTACCTTTAGAGTCAGAATGAAAAGGGGAACAAACAGCACTATAATATTGTGATGATAATCCTCATGTTCACGGGGATGTTCTTAGCGTAATAAAAATTTACCTTTTATATATAGCTCTTTCTCATTTAACATTGTGAATGTTTATGGCTTAAATCTTACTATTTTTAAAATATGATGATTGACTCCTCGTTACCTTTTCTAATTTAAGGTGGTTTGTTGGAAGTGTTCTGATTACAAAGCTCAACTGGAGTATGATGGTGGCAAATTGAGCAAAGTTTGTAAAGACTGTTACCTAATAATAAGTGGATTCGCAGACAGTGAAGAAAAGAAAAAAAAAGGGATTTTAGAGGTATGAAATAGTAAATGTTGGATATCTTTTAGATTTTTATATTGGGGACATAAAATTGTATTTTAACCCTGAAGAAGACAAGGTAACACATTTTGTTATTTCTCTTAGTATTTAACAATTTTTGAGAACGATGAGCAAGTCATGCTTATGTTCTGTGTTGCTGAATTTTGGGATCATACAGAAGGACAGGGTCAGTGTTCTGCATTTGAGAGTACACAAAGGTCATTTTGGATAACTGGAAAAGGATCATGAACTTTAAGATTCATTTAAGATTAACATGTAGGTCTGCACACTTAAAATATAACTCTGAGTTCCAGGATGTATAGATGTTGTTTGAATGGTTTTTTTTTTCAGGCAGGTTGGGTGGAAACAAATGCTTCATTGGCTCCTAAGGACCCAGGCTCAGTGCTTAACAACAGCAACTGATGCGACTGAATTAATGTGATCACCTGTTTTAATGAGTTTCAGGCTGTATCTATGAAGTAAAAACCTCAAAGGAGTTTTCTAGAAAAAACTTGGGGGAGTCAGTTACTTAACCATGTTAACACATGTGCACACATGCAATATTTGAAATTCACTTTGTGCCAACTAGTGTTATATGAGGTAGACCCAAAGGTCTCAACAAACTTTTTTGGTAAAGGGCCAGAGAATAACTATTTTAGTTTTTGCAGGCCACGAGGCAAAACTGAGACTACCAATTCTCTAACAAGAAGGAAAACAAATTTTCACAAATTTACATTGACATTTAAAATACAATAATTGAATATAATTTTTTTTCTAATATGGTAACAAGAATGGAATTCTTTAGAGGGAGAAGAGAAGATAATATTTCCCTTAATTTGAGTCCAAAGTTAGTGTTCCCTATTACCAAATTGGTTTTAAATGTTTATCTGAAAGCACTTTCTTAGCTCCCCCATGGTGGGCTGGTAGGCCAGTTTGCCAGCCAGTGCTTCTTCAAGTGTCTCTGATGAAGGGCCAAACCTCATGATAACTCAGTAATTTTGTAAAACACACAGTCATGTGCTTGAGTATCATCACAAAGTCAAACTTCTAAGGAAGTTTTTCAGTATTTACTCTTACTTTCTGTGCTTATCTTGAACCAGTAACTAAACATTTGGCAAGCCAGCACTCTTGAATTGACAGCACTGAGGAGCAATACCCTAAGGCCGTGGTTGGCAAACTGTGGCTTGAAAGCCACATATGGCTCTTTGGCCCCTTGAGTGTGGCTCTTCCATAAAGTACCATAGTCTGGGCAAGTCTATTTTGAGGAAGTGGCATTAGAAGAAGTTTAAGTTTAGAAAATTGGGCTCAAAAGAAATTTCAATAGTTGTACTGTTGATATTTATCTCTGTTAACTAATGAGTTTGCCAACCACTGCCCTGAAAGATTTGATGCTTTCTATAATGTGTGTAATAACCATCATTTAGTCAAATGGTTTTGTTCCCTTTTTAGGCAGTGATTTATGTATTTTGAGGCAAAGCAGAAAACTGTAAATGGCTCTACAAACAGCTAATGCAATTTTCATTTATTCATTTATTTAAAAAATTTTTAATTGATTTATTCAAGAAAGGAAAGGAGATAAAGAGAGAGAAATATCAATTGGCTGCCTCCTGCATGTCTCCCACCAGGGATCAAGCCCTCAATCCAGGCATGTGCCCCAACCAGGAATCAAACCGTCAACCTTTGGAATGATACCCAACCAAATGAGCCACACCGGCCAGGGCTTTAGTGAAGTTTTTAAAACTTGAATTATCTCAGATTCCAAGACAAAGTTTGCTGGCCAGTATTTGTCTTTTTGTTATTGATTCTTACATAAGTGAAGTTGGTATGCGTTGTGGTTAAAAATTTAGGCTCTGGATCCAGACTCAAATCCCAGCATCCCAATTCCTAAATGTATGATCTTGGGAAAGCTATTTCATCTCTGAACTTCATAGTCGAGGAAAGTTGTAACTTCTTGGTGTTGGTGTGAAGATTAAATGAAATAATACATTTTTTAGTGAGTTAAGAAAAGTGTCTGCATCATAAGCAATTCATAAATGTTTACTGTAACTTCATTTAAATTTAAGGACTGGTTACACAGATAGTTAACATTGACTTAGATAGTTTCCCATGCTAATAATAGATCTAGATGAATATTTAAATAATAATTGCAGATGAACTTTTTTGGATGATTTCAGAAGACATCTGATATAAACGCACTGTAGTTAATAGATTTAATTACTTCTCTATCTGGCCCGTTTTGTGTTCATTCTCATTCACTGTCACTCTTTCCATTATATTCTTCTAGATTGAATCAGCAGAAGTATCTGGAAACAGTGTGGTATGCAGCTTTCTTCAGTACATGGAGAAGTCAAAACCTTGGCAGAAAGCTTGGTGTGTGATCCCCAAACAAGACCCTCTGGTGCTGTACATGTACGGTGCCCCTCAGGTATCTAACTACACCTGACTGAAGGGACAGAGGTCATGAGGATGGGGTTGGGGAGCGGGCGGGGGGGGGGGGGGGCAGGGAGAGGCAAGTAAACAGTGAACTCACCCCACTATGGAACAAGAGAGTTCAGTTTCATTGTTTCATTATAATTGGAAAAAATAATAACGAATTCAAGTTTACTTAAACTGGTGGGTTCCTTTTATAGCCAGTAATTTCTCCACCCCGTGGATTCTTTCTCCCCTTCTCTCATCCCTAAACTATGGGCTTGGAAAAAAAAAAAAAGGGTGAGTTGAATTAGGAAAGGACATTGGGAGAAGGGGGTGAAGTAGAGGGAGAAGCAGGAAGGAGGAGAAGGAGCCTTTTTAATGTTAGGAAGTAATAGGAAGGCTTTCCCTCCACCCCCCTTGAATGCAGGAATACCCGAAAGAGAAAGAAATTGAGAGGAAAAAAAAATTTTTTTTTTATTATTTTTTTTATTTTTATATTTTATTGATTTTATACAATAGGAAGGGAGAGAGACAGAGAGCTAGAAACATCAATGAGAGAGAGTCATCGATCGGCTGCCTCTTGCATACCCCCTACCGGGGATGTGCCCGCAACCAAGGTACATGCCCTTGACCGGAATCGAACCCGGGACCCTTGAGTCCCCAAGCCGACGCTCTATCCATTGAGCCAAACCGGTCCCAGCGAAAAAAAAATTTTTTAATCACGCTTAGATTAACATTATCCAGTAACAATTGTTTGAGAACTGGCTATGCATGGATCTGAGATAAATCTATGGGAACAACGGACATGCAGATTTGGCTTCTAACCAGAGCAGCACCAGGTACTATGGAGTATGTATTTGGAGGCAAAGCAGAAAACTTTAAATGGCTCTACAAACAGCTAATGCAATTTTTACCTACTCATTTATTTTTAAGATTTTTAAATTGATTTTTTCAAGGAAGGAAAGGAGATAAAGAGAGAGAAACATCAATTAGCTGCCTCCTGCATGCCTCCTACCAGGGATCAAGCCCTCAACCAGGCATGTGCCCCAACCAGGAATCAAACCATCAACCTTTCAATATATGGGATGATACCCATGTACTGTAAATGGCTCTACAAACAGGGCATGTATACCAATTGTGCATTCACCTGGAAATACATAAACTTTTCAATGTACCTATTGTATTTTATCCTATATCTACATTAAAGACTAGTAAAACTTTTTTTTTTTTTTTTAGAAATAGACTTAAAATGCCAAGGTATATGTTCTATTCTATTTTGTGTTTTTTCCTATAACCTTTTCCTGCTCATAAACAAATTGATTCATTAATGAATGAAACACCAAGGAAAATTGTCATTTGGCAATGAATCATTAACATTTGCTGGTTTTATACAGTAAGATAACTGGAGGCTCTCACACAGAGGAGGTATGGGGGCAGTGAATTTTAGCTGAGTTAGGTGCCAGCTCTCATCCATTAATTCATGCAGTCAGTGACCTCATGTACAGGCACTGTGCTGTTCCTGGTTCACCAACTCTGTCCGTGGAGACTTCACAGTGCAAGTCTGTATGGAATAATCATAGGGAAAGAGGTGTTTTTTTTTTTAATATGTTTTTATTAAAGATTTCAGAAAGAAAGGGAGAGAGAGAGAGAGAGAGAGAGAGAGAGAGAGAGAGAGAGAGAGAGAGAGAGAGAGAGAGAGATCCAAGCCATTTCCAAAATTGCTGTGACTTGGGGTGAGGATGGATGGATCTGTCATCAAAGGGAGAAACATCAATGATGAGAGAATCATCGACCAGCTGCCTTCTAACACCCCCCACTGGGAATCAAGCCCACAACCCAGGACCTCTCAGTCCGTAGACCTATCCACTAAGCCAAACCGGCCAGGGCAGAAAAGAGGTTTTAGTAGGGACTTGTATAGCATGCTAACACATCTCATACTCCTATGTATTATTATTTTTCCTTTAGGATGTCAGAGCCCAGGCCACCATTCCACTCCTGGGCTATATTGTGGATGACATGCCAAGGAGTGCAGACCTGCCACACAGTTTCAAACTGACCCAGTCCAAGTCTGTGCACAGCTTTGCTGCAGATAGTGAGGAACTGAAACAGAAGTGGCTGAAAATCATCTTTCTAGCTGTCACAGGTGAGACACCTGATGGTTCTAACAACCATTCGGCTATCTTGGACGACAACCTTGAACCTAAATAAAAATCAGAATGCTGAACTCCAAGACCAACCACAGTGTGGGGGTCTCAAGATTCACCGCTCAAGACATTCCCGGTTCTCCTTCCTCATCTCTTAGCACTTTATGTTGAAAAGTATAGGCTCATAAATGTATCTGGTTAGGGGACTATTTTCCTATGTTTGTGTACTCTGGTGAAATTAATGTGCAGAGCCATTCTACCGGTAAAAGTTGGAAATAATGTAAAAAATGGAGCATTTTTTAATGAATTATTTCTTGACTATGTACTTTTGTCTTGGAGAAAATGGTATCAATTGATTATGTCACAATCAGGTTAGAATAGGCCACTTTCACTTAAGAAATATTTTAATGGCTTCTCTTTCACATGTAGGACTTGTAACAGTTTGAAAGATATACCTCCATGTTGCCAAAATAGATCCATGGTTAGAAAAATTACAAGGACAGTTTAGGCTGTTGTGTTAACTTATTTAATTTAGTGTATAAAGCTCAATCTGGATAAGTAACGTATGTCCTTTTAAAATAGAAAAAGGACAGATTGTTGGTGTTCAAACTTTTGACTTAAGAAAATATATTTGTTTTTGTAGAAATATCCCTAAAAAATAAAATATCTTAAGTATATAGCAATTATGTATATATAGTATTAAGTATAAATATATCTATAGAATATACATGCCTTTCTCTTCAGCTTTAGGTTCATATTTGTCTCTAATTTATTTTTAAAATATAAAGCATGTTTTATCTTGGAATTGGATGTGTTCTAAACCTAATGTTTGTGGTGATATATGTTTAACTGATTGACAGCTAAAGGTATTGATATTTTTATAATAGAAAAAAGCAGTAACTTATGCGGCATGGGATATATTAGTGAATTCCAACTGTATTTTAAAGTACTATTTTTTGTTGTTTTTGTTCTGTGCCTATTTAAAACAGTGCCTCTCTTTAAAGGTGCTAATAATTTCTATTTAAATATAAGGTGAGGGTTTAATTAATGCTTCCATCTTGCTTACTCAGATAAAGTGCATTTTGGGCACCAGAATGATCAAAATCATTCAGGTTGTTTTTCGTTTTATGATCCTCTAATTTGCACAGCAGTTAATATCAGCATGTACAAAAATCTTCACAAAAATCTGGATTGTGCAAAATACCTGACCTTAAGCAGAACTAGGACCTCAGGAAACTACATTTCCTGGGCTGTTTTTCTTCTCTAAGACTGTTAAGCATTGTTAAATGAGGACTATATAATTAACTAGAGACCTGGTGCACTGATTTGTACACTGGTGGGGTCTGTTGGCCTGGCCTGTGGGGATCGGGCTGAAATGGCTCTCTGACATCCTCTGAAGGGTCCCAGATGGCAAGATCATGCAGACCAGGCCAAGGGACCCCACTGGTGCATGACAGGGACCATGGGAGGGCTCCAGACCATGTCCAGCTCATCTCACCCAGTCCCAATTGGCCAGACCCCAGCAGGAAGCTAATCTACCAGTTGGAGCATTTGCCCCCTGGTGGTTAGTGCATATCATAGCAACCAGTCAAACAGTTGGAGGGATAATTAGCATATTAGGCTTATATATATATAGATACTTGAGATAACTGTGTGGACCTGTTCCTTTGTCAGATATAGTACAAAATTCACAATTGGTAATCTATGTTTGAGGGGGATGGATATATATCAAAGGAAATTTATGTTCAATTCTTTAAACGTCCTCAATAAAGAATGGGGGTGGAGGGCACAGTATTAAAAAGCAATGCTTTAATGGTAGGTTTTGGGGAGGTACAAGATAATTGCAGAGAGTCTGAGCATTCCTTTCTCATTTATCCTTCTGGGGAATCATAACAGACAAAGTATAATTCTTTGTGACGAAGGCTGCTCTTCATTATATTGTAATTATAATTAAAATCTCACATTAAGTTGGCTTTTTAACTTAATCCTTTTCCCTAATTAGATCTGGTTTTTTGTTTTTCATTTTTTGTTATTTTTTATCCTGTTATGCCTCAAATGTTATTACATTTAATGCATCATCTAGAGATCCACAAAAATGACCTCACTATATATATTATTGATTTCAGAGAAGAAGTGAGAGGGAGAGAGATAGAAACATTAATAATGAGAGAGAATCATTGAACGGCTGCCTCCTGTAACCCCCACCCTCACTAGGGATCGAGCCCCTGTCTGCAGGCTGATGCTCTATCCACCAAGCCAAACCAGCTAGTGCTGGGATTACATCTTAAATGTAGAAAAGATTTGCTCAGAATTGGAGAGTTTCATCTATTTAGGCCCTTTTAAGAAAATTTGAAACATTTATTTTTCTGCAAAGGAGTAGATAAACTAATTATGGCCAACATGATTGGGTTGCCTTCTTCCATAAAAGGATTACCAACCATGATCCTTTATATCCAACCAAATACTTGGAGCCAAAAAAAAAAAAGATACAAGGTAACTAGTTCCTATTAAATCAGGGGCAGACCTAAAAATATTTTACATTGCTTCTCTTTTCTAGTTGCTGTGTGTGTGTGTGTGTGTGTGTGTGTGTGTGTGTGTATACAACATGTGTGTTCATGGTTGTTATTGATAAGGTTAAACTATAGCTATAGACCCACTATCTTTTGGTTTTCTTAATCTCAAGAAGAGAGAAGCAATAAAAATATAGAATGACTTCCAGGGGAAGGTGAATTTTGTAAATGTGGATAGAACAATGGAAATGTAAGGGCCAGTTGGAAGATCTATTGGCCAGATTATTTTTAAAAACTGTTTTGAACAGCAAGAAGACTACACTTTCCCTTTCAGTGAGTTCTTCTGGAGTGGAAGTTGTGGACAAATTTTGGCTCAATAAATAGCTGTGTTATTTAATTTAGATTATTGAAAGAGAATATTCATGAAGACAATATTATCCTGCTCTTAATATTATCTTTAATTTGATGAGAGAGCAATATTATAAGAAGAGAACTTTTAATTATCCAGTTACCAATTTCACTCCCACCCCTTGTTTTTTAGCCAAGCACAAAGAGAAGCAATGAAGCAGCCTTACCTGTTTTTTGTTAAATAATCACTAATGCTTTTATTTGGAGAAAGGCAAAGGAATACGCTTAGTCAGCCACTTAGTAAGCACTCAACTAAACCAAAAGACCTCAAAGTATGATTGGTTACAAGAATAATTTATGTCTTTTGCTTTCTGAGACACCAGAGCAGTCAGGACAGATTGAGCCTAAGAAGGTAATTGGTTGCTTTCCTGTTAAAGCCAGCATCCCACCATATAGTTCTTACGATTTGTTTTCTCTAAGTTGGTGTTTTCCAAACCATCTTTTCTTCAAACTTAAAAATATTTCTTTGCTAAAAACTGATGTTCATTATAAAGCATTCCAATTTTTTAAACTTGCTTAAATTTAAACACTTAAATTTTGCTTTATTGAAAGTCTACCCTTTTGGGTATTAAGTATGAAATGTAGTGCAGACTGATCTCCAGGTTTTAAGCAGGACTCAACAATGAAAAACTGCCACCAGCCACTTTTGTAATAATGACATCTACAATGCTGTCATGTATGCAAGCAATAAAACTCTTCAGGGTATGTTTTATACTGAAATCTTGACATAATGCCCTTAGTCACATTCTGGAAGAGAATTCACTTCTAGACATGATCATGTAACTCATTGCTTGGTATGGGGAAGAGAAAGTGTGTGTGCTTGGGGATTGGGTGGGTGGGAGGGCATTATTCTTTGGATTCAAATAACTATCAAAACCATTTTACTTTTGCAATGGGTATGGATAGTGAAACAAAGCACATCTGCACTACTTTATCAGGCAACATTTCATTTTTCATAAAGTTTAATAACATACACGTTGGTGTACTTATCTTCACTGGGTGACCTACCCCCATTTTTCTAAATACACCATTTTTTAAAAATTGCCAAACTGTTTCTAAAAACTAGTTTTTTAAGTGTGCCCTGTCCCCATCTATAGACAAACATTGGGCTGGTTTTTGTTTGTTTATTTGTTTTTTTAAGAATACTTGCTGTAGTCCTAAGTATATTACAAAAAAATACTACAAACTTTATAGTAATTCAGGGTTATTAAGGGTTCATTAATGCATTCTAACAACCTTAAATTAAACATACTTCTTCAAGTTTACAATTGCGCTTTACTTCTTTTTGTCTACTCTATGGAACAGGGTGTTTTAATTCCTTTAAATTTTAGATCTCAATTCTGGTTCTATTCAAAGCCTTACATTCTTATTCTAAGAATATTGTCTGTGGTAACTCTGATAATGATCTTTCTGGGCTGGATCTATCCCAAGGAAAAGGCACCAACAGGAGCAAATAAACTTCTAGGGAACAAAGGTCTTCTTCTTATTTTCTTGTTTTTGTTTGTGTTGTTACCCTTGCTATAATACAGAAGATTAGTTAAAATTACCTACATCATGTGATGTTCGTGTGAGTGGGTCTAAGCACATGTATTTATAAGCTAAAATTAATTAAAAAGACAAGAATGTCTTCATGTTTTCATTGTTAAAGTTTTGTATTCTTCAAGAATGTATTAATATAAAAACTGTGGCTAACCAGTTCTGATTCTCAGGACTGGATTGATATTCGTAGTGTATCATGTTATTTCCTTATTCTCATCCAGTTTTAGTTGAATCAACTTATTTTATTTTCATATTACTCTCTACTATAGATTCTCCAGATTTGGAAAATATATAAAAACCACTATATCTACTTTTAAAACTCTTTTTGTGAATTTCTGAGTATATGTATATATGTAAAAATATGGTCGATTTCCAATTCTGTTTTTTCATAGGAATGAAATTTTTATAGAAGCTGTTCTTTTTTAGTTTAAATATTTTAACCTAAATTATTCCCATGAATTTTTAGTATAGTTCATTCTTATGTGTGCCTGTAACCATGTCATGAGATGAAAACTAGACTTTCTTTACTGATATAGTAGAGAGGAATGAAATTCAGAACGGAAGCAAGCAGGAATGAGCAGAGAGGTGGGCAGAAAAAGACTGCTGG